TGTGCGGGCTTCTCATTGCAGTGGCTTCTCTTGCTGTGGAGCACGGGCTCTAGGCACGCAGGCTTCAGGAGTTGTGGCTCGCGGGCTGTAGAGCTCAGGCTCAGTAGTTGTGGTGCACGGGCTTAGTTGCTGCGCGGCATGTGGGATCTTCCCGGACGAGGGCTCGAACCCATGTCCCCTGCACTGGCAGGTGGATTCTTAACCACTGCGCCACCAGGGAAGCCCTCATAAATGTGTTTGCAGTTTGTTCGAATCATAATCCAAGCAAGGGTCTGTCTCTACTTCACAAGTGGTTGATGTGTCTCTTAAGTCTCTTTCAATCTCTACGGGTCTCCATTCATATCTTTTTTGTGTACATGCTTGCACACTCTCTAGGTGTTGAAAAAAGAAGTTAGCCATAATTAGTATAACTTTTCCCCTGTATGTGGTGTAACTTTTCTTTCCCCTTTGGTTGCTTTCAAAATTTTCTGTTTCTTCTTGGTTTTCAGCAGTTCGACTCTGTGCCTGAACGTAGCTTTCACTGTATTTATCCTGCTTGGAATTTGCCGAGCTTCTTGGATCCTTAAGTTTGTATATTGTTGTTGCTGTTGTTGTTAACAAATTTGAGGACAATTTGGCCATTATTTCTTCAATTTTGTTTTGTTTTGGCCCCATTCTTTCTGTTTTCTCCTCTTTTACAATGTTATAGTGACTGTGCAGGAAAATCATCTTATTTTCTTAGATGACCACACAAGTACTTAGGATAGGGTATCACAATCTCTAATTTGCTTTAAAATAATTCAGTTTTTAAAAATGTGTGTTGAGAGTGTGGGGGGGGATACCAACCCACCCACATCTATAAAAAAAAAAAAGTTTTCACCTTCTCAAACTCCAATTACATTTCTTTTAGACCATTTAATATTGTTCCATAGGTCACTGAAGATCTCTTTCTTTGTTTTTAATTTTTATTGATCTGTTTTCAGATTTACTAACCCTTTCTTCTGTTATCTCCCATCTGCTATTAAGTCTCTCCTGTCCAAAATTTCAAGTACTGTATTTTTCAGTTCAAAACCCTTTTTGATTGTTTCCATTTCTTTTCTGATAGTCTCCATCTGTTATCACTCATTATGACTATCATTTTCTTTAAATGCTTGAACTTATTTATAATAGCTACTTTTTTTTTTTTTTTTTTTTTTGCGGTACACTGGCCTCTCACTGTTGTGGCCTCTCCCGTTGCGGAGCACAGGCTCCGGATGCGCAGGCTCAGCGGCCATGGCCCACGGGCCCAGCCGCTCCGCGGCATGTGGGATCCTCCTGAACCGGGGCACGAACCCGTGTCCCCTGCATCAGCAGGCGGACTCTCAACCACTGCGCCACCAGGGAAGCCCAGCTACTTTTAAGTTCTTTTTTGCTCATTCCAACATCTAGATTATCTCAAGAGTCTACTTCTATTGACTGCCATCCCTCTTGAATATGGGTCACATTTTTCTGTTCCTTCACGTGTCTAGAATATCTTTATTGGACACTGAATATTACATATAACATATTGTAGAGACTCTGGATTATGTTACATTCCTCTGAAGAGTGTCGATGTTTCCGCTAGCAAGCAGTTAAATAACTAGTCAGTCACTCTGAATTTGTGGAGGCTTGGTCTTATATTTGGTTAGGGAAGATTTATTTCAGTTTTGCCTTTAGCCCTCAGGCAAATCCCTTTGTCCTAGAGCATAGTCCTTACTCCTAAGGTGTGGCCATTCTGGGGTAATAAGCAGCCTGAGGTGTTTTCAGAGCCTTCCTTGATAGAGCCCCAACTCTGAACTCTGTCTCCAATACCATGGCCAGCAGCTGAGATTCCGTGTCTTTGAACTGTACAGCTGTCACCCTTCACTGAGCTCCTTGGAGTTCCCCCTGCACATTGCAGTTCAGGAGCACGTGTTAAGGATTTGAGGGCATTTTATGTGCCAGTTAGTGGCTACTCCCTCTGAGGGTCCCTCCTTTATGGAATCTGTTTTCTCCATTTTTTTGCCCTTCTGACAGCTTCATACTCTACTCCCTGGCATCTCAAACAACTTTCTGTTCTTTTTCTAGCTGCCTCACACTACGTGGACTGGGAAGGACCCTCAGAGTGACAGCTGTATAAATTTGGATCTTACTCTGGGCAGTTCCTTTCTTGCAAGAGTAAAATCCCCTTCAGTTTCCAGTACCCTCATAACTTTTATAAATATATTTTATCCAGATTCTATCATTGCTATATGTAGGAAAGTTAGTCTGATACAAGCCACTCTGCTATTACTGAAACTGGAATCCCCTTCTCCTTTGAGAAAAATGGTAGCATACCATACATACTTCACCTTGCTTTTGCTCATCTAGCCATAGAGCCTAGAGATCAGTCCTTAGCAAAATATTTAGTTATTCCTCATTCCATTTTATAGCTGCGCAGTCCTCCATCATTTAGAGATATACCATCATTTGTTAAACCAGTCTCCTATTGATAGCTGTTCCAACGTTTAAGCACTTTTAAATTCGTGGCAGCATGTTATATAGTGGTTACAAAATAAGCCCTTTGCCTTCAGGCAGATGATCTTTTAATTATCATGAACAGCATTTCTTTTGTTCAGTGTCTCATATGATTTGTGAGATCTAGTGGAGTCCCCATTTCCTGTTAACCCTATATAAAACTTGAAGAAACCACCACCTTTGTCTCTGTGTACTAACCCTATCAGATTCCCAGATCCCCTTTATATGGTCTTCATATAGATGTTGTCGTAATGGATAAAGGAGGTATCTTTGACTTGCTTTACTTAGAACCATGGACAAGTCTCTGACCAGAACAGGGACCTGCAAGTATGCACATCCTTTTGGTGAGACAGCTCTGGGAACAGATGTGGCCAGAGAAACCTCATTAAGATGTGTGTGAGGCCCTGGAGAAAACTCCATTTTTGTAGGCAGAGTTTTGTTCTTCCAACCCTTAGCAGGACTCCTAAGGCCGCGTACATGCTGGTCCCTCCCTCAACCCAGCCCGTGGAGCTACTTCTGCTGCTGAGCTGTGTACACTTTTTTTATATATATAAATTTATTTTATTTATTTTTGGCTCGCACAGGCTTTCTCTAGTTGCCGAGAGCAGGGGCTACTCTTCATTGTGGTGCGCATGCTTCTCATTGCGGTGGCTTCTCTTGTTGCGGAGCATGGGCTCTAGGTGTGCAGGCTTCAGTAGTTGTGGCACACAGGCTCAGTAGTTGTGGCTCGCGGGCTTAGTTGCTCCGCGGCACGTGGGGTCTTCCTGGATCAGGGATCGAACCCATGTCCCCTGCATTGGCAGGCAGGTATTAACCACTGTGCCACCAGGGAAGTCCCTGAGCTGTGTACACTTCTGATGTTGTCCTTCCTCAAATGTCTCCAGCTTGAAAGTTCAGGTGGGATGGGGTGGAGGTATTGTCAGGGGTCCATCCCTCCTTCTTCTCACTTAACTCTACCTGTCTGTGCACTCGGAAACAAAATGATCCTCAATGTTCTCTCAGGTACAAGATTGTTATTATGTAAATTAGGCCCACTGTGCACGCTTAGAGCAGGTTTTTTGTTTTTGTTTTTGTTTTTGGCGGTACGCGGGCCTCTCACCGTTGTGGCCTCTCTCGTTGCGGAGCACAGGCTCCGGACGCGCAGGCTCAGCGGCCATGGCTCACGGGCCCAGCCGCTCCGCGGCATGTGGGATCTTCCCGGACCGGGGCACAAACCCGCGTCCCCTGCCTCGGCAGGCGGACTCTCAACCACTGCACCACCAGGGAAGCCCTAGAGCAGGTTTTGATGTGACTTTCCCCCCTAGTTTCTACATAGCAGAGAAGTAGATATTCTAATGGGTACATAAGGTTCTAGAATCTTACTGGAATCTAACTGGCTGGGTGACCTTGGGTAAGTTGCTTAACTTCTTTATGCCACCATTTTCTCTCCTGTTAAACAGGAGTAACAGTAGTTAGTACCTTCTGCTTAGGTGTGTTATAGATTTTAAACAATATAATCCAGTACGTAGGATATATAGTAATTGCTTTATTATTATCATCATTATCGTTAATACCAACAACTCCCGGAGATAGAGAATATGAAAGTTGGGTTATGAAAAGTCAGTGAAAACATTTAGAGAAAAACCCTTAAGGACCCCAAAAGCCGTGTTGAAGAGTCGAGTAACAAAAAGATAAAGAATGAACGTGTGGCTTCCTTGTGTTTATAAGCCACTAGTAGGTGATTAATGGAACGTCTGTAGACACTTTTTGCTTGTCCACTGGCAGGAAAAGAATTTCGAGTATGTGCACTTTAATTTTTTTAAAGCGGTGAAAAAGAGCCTGCATCCCGGGAAGAAAGGTGCTCCTGCAAGCTCACGTGCTCCACCGTCGCCACCTTTAGGACCGCAGTGAGGTGCCTCCCCTGACCGTCCAGCAGGGTCTCTGACTGTCCTTCCCTCTGCTCCACAGATAACTGTGTCCAGAGGACCCCGAGGCCGTCGGTGGAGAACGTACACCACAACCCTCCCACCATTGAACTGTTGCACCGTTCCAGGTCACCCATCACGACAAACCACCGGCCTTCTCCCGACCCCGAGCAGCGGCCCCTCCGGTCCCCCCTGGACAACATGATCCGCCGCCTCTCCCCGGCCGAGAGGGCCCAGGGACCGAGGCTCCACCAGGAGAACAACCACCAGGAGTCCTACCCCCTGTCAGTGTCTCCCATGGAGAATAATCACTGCCCGCCGTCCTCCGAGCCCCACCAGAAGCCCTCCAGCCCCCGGCAGGAGAGCACGCGGGTGATCCAGCTGATGCCCAGTCCCATCATGCACCCTCTGATCCTGAACCCCCGGCACTCCGTGGATTTCAAGCAGTCCCGGCTCTCCGAGGACGGGCTGCACCGGGAAGGGAAACCCATCAACCTCTCCCATCGGGAAGACCTGGCATACATGAACCACATCATGGTCTCCGTCTCCCCGCCCGAGGAGCACGCCATGCCCATCGGGAGGATAGCAGGTAAGTGAGCGCTGCCCTCGCCGCACGCCAGCCTCGAGCTCCCTTGGGGCCTCACGCTGTCCCAATTAGGTGCCCTCCAAGGCTCTGGGAGGCCAAGTGGAGGCTTCTGCCTGCAGGAGGCGACATCCTTAATGGGCTAGTTCATGAGGCACGGGGCTGGAGGAGTTCTGCGCCTCGTAAGTGTTAAGAAACAAACGTCCTCCATCCAGCTTCCAAGGGGAGTCACATCAGAATCGCGGCTGAGCAGAAACATTTGAAATCAAAGGTTTATGAGCATGTTAATGGCCCTGTCCCGAAGTTTCCAGCAGCTAATTAACGTGCAGACGCAGCATAAAGAACCTTTGTCTCAGATGCAGGCTTGTAATTCCATCCTCTGCACAGCAACTCCACGTAGCCTTCACCTTGGGAGGGGGTAGGAGAGAAAAGCAGGATTAGGGTGTTGGAGTCTGGTGCTGCTGTGTCATTTGGACAGAGGAAACCACTCCCGAATTCTTTCCCTTCTATGCTGACAAGCCCAAATTTACTCCCCTAAGACGAGAAACCAGTGGAAACCAGTGAAAAAAATCACCACATTGTATTTTTGCTAGCCCGCCCATAATTTACATGAAGTCATTTTCCAGAAGCTTATAATCCTCTAACCTCTTGGCAAAGTTAACTCTTTTCCTAGAGCTTCTCTCTATTCACGAGACATTTTTGGAGCACCTGCTGTGCACAGATAAATGCACTGGGAAGTAGGGGACACGGAGCTGATATAACACTTATTATTTCCTAAAGGGATTTAAATTTTACTAGGAGAGACAGATGTGAAAACCACTAAGCTCCAAGGCAGAAGGAAATAAGCCCTCTGCCCCGTCCAGTCAATGCACAAGCATTTATTGAATACCTACTGTATGCGAGGATAATTCAGTGCCGTGGAACCAGTGCAGAGAGAAGGGGTATTTTGACTGGAGGAACTGAGGAAGGGTGGTAGCTCGATGCTGAACGTGATTATGGGTCCAGTAATGGGACGGAGACACGGAGACAGGAGAGAGGTCAGAACTATTCAGGGAAAGGTGAGTCGTGCCCCTTCCTCCTTGGGCTGATGCCGTAGGAGCGAGGTCCAGCTGAAGCTCGGGCTGGAGCAGTGCTCACGACACCATGACGACACGGGCCCTAAGGCTGCTTTACTTCTGTCTTGACTCGTCCCTTTTTTATTTAAGTCATTTGTTTCTAAATTCTTCTCTGGTCCCAAGGGCACCTCCAATGTCACCTCAATTTTATCATTATAAATAACTTACATAAGGAATGTTGGATCAAGAAAATCAAATGGCCAAGAGCTATGACGTGTTTCAAAAACACCATGAAAAATGAAATGATGTATGCTTGGAATGTGATCCAGAAGCATCCCGCAGGGTTGGGAGTGAGGAATGGGTGGGGGGGGGGTGTACGTAAAACGTTAGTCACAAGCTGATGGCTGTATGGCGGGGCGTCGGGTGCACCGGGGTTTACATTACTGTTCCGTCTACTTTTACATAAAGGTTTTTTTAATAATGGAAAAAAGAGAAACTATGAAAAGAAAGGACGGGGATAAGGTAGCAAAGAGCTTATTGTGGCAAAGCATGTGCATTTCCCCAGATAATTGGAGGAGGAGGAAGGGGCCAGTATATTCCTGTGAATGATATAAATGACCTGTCTTGGACGTTCTAGGCTTTCTTTCTTGTCTGTATACGCCCTGCTTGTTTCTTGCGTGGTCTGTGCAACAGTTCTGGACATTTTGTGGATACTTTCTACTTGTTTATAATCCTCAGAATAGCTCTTCGAGGTAGCCTATCATTGCTCTATCCATTTTATATGGAAGGGTCGTTTACAGGGGAAACCACAGAGGAAACTGAACGGCAGAGAAGCAGAGGTCACATAGGGGCTGGCGGATGAGGCTGCAGGACGGCCCTTGCCGCGCCGTTGGCTGCTATCTCTTGGGCTGCCCTTGCTACCCCTGCATTCCTAATCGCAATCTGTCTTGTCCACCTCCTCTGTGACGCTGTCTTTGCCACAGACTTCTTAGGAATCCAAGATAAGCCCCATGTGTCAAGTTAAATTGTTCAGGCTTAGAGCTGTTTTTCCCTGGTTTAGTAGGTCTGGAAATTTTTTAATATGGCTCTCTTAAAAACTGTGCTACTCTATTGGTATATTCAAAAGTTCCATCATCTCCACATGTCTGTCTTCGCTAATTTAACCAGATCCAGGATTAGCTGATGTAACCAAAAGGCACTGTTTTTCTCAAGGGTGAAACGAGAGAGAAGTCTACGATCTGACATTTAGTCTTGATACTGTGACCCTCTCAAAAGTGCTCACCACAGTTCCAGGCTTGTTTCTCATTTGGGGTGTCCCTGTCTCTCCACTCCAACCCTTTGGGTGTCTTTTTGGACTACTCAGATCCTCGTAGAATTGATTCTTCATTTACTGGAAGTCGAATTCATTGGGTGATTCATATGTACGATATAAAGTTCCGTCATTATTGAACAGCCATAAAAGTCCTTCAGATCTCTATAAAGCAGCTTTTCTATGGGAAAACTTTTCAGATGAGCCCAGAGGGCACTGAAGGTGCTGCTGTGTGTCACACTGACAAATACCATAGTTGGAGGATATGGTAAGAACACTACTGATACATGTGGATCAAAGTAAATCACGCATCATTTGCTCAGGTGCTCCCGGGTGTGTGCCTCTGGACACCTTCTGTGTTTGCAGCACTGTTTCGCATTCATGGGGGTGGAGTGCTCCAGGAGATGTAAGACACAGTCTTCGTCATGAAACAGCTGTAGACAGTGAGCTACAAGTGCAGCTTGTGGTGTCTTCCAAGGACTCCGATTAAGTGCTGTAGGAGGCTGGAGTAGAGGTGTCAGGAAGGCTTCATGGAGGGGCTGGGTTTTAGCTAGATGAATGCTTAGAATATGGACAAGTGGAGATTAAAGAAAAAGAGGTCATTCCAAATGGAGAAAACTCCAAAACAATGTAAGGCCTAGTATATCTGTTCTATTTCAGATAGAAATGTAAAGTCAAGAATCCAGGTTCATTTAAAAAATCCACCATATTTTAGCAATTCTTTCTTTTTTTCACACTTTAGTATCTACGAAATTGGGAGGCATCACACAATTAAGAGGCCCCATGCAAAGTTATGATGGTTCACTTAGGTACTTACCTGGCGGAAAATCTAAAATAGTCAATGAAAGAAATCCAGGAGGTAGTTGACAGTTTAAACACAAACCACAAATTGAAATAGAAACACACAGCTTATCTTGAAAGGTGTTGCTTATTTTTCAAGGAATAAGAAGGACTGTTGTTGAGTTTAACAAGCTGCAAGGGCTGGCATTTGTGGGAGAGAGTTTAACATAGGACAGAGTGAGAGAAGATTCCTGGGTTCTATTTTTTAATTGAACAGCCAGTGGTATGTGCAACACTGAGCAAGTTGCTTCTTTCTGTGCTCTTTTCTATTTATTGCCCTCAGGGAAGGACTGCTTGGTGGCGGGGGGATGGGGGAGCATCTGTCACCTCCTAACATTTTCTCAGCCCACAAACGTTTTACTGGCCTGTGTCTCGCCAACCTGTTTCATAGCCAGAGAGTGGTACTGGCAGTGAGTGCCGTAAATTGAAGAAGCGTAGCCCAGGTGATGCTGTGTTTTCAGTATATGTTGAAAATAATTCTTAGAACTTGGTGGTTTCAAAGCTAGAAGGGTCTTTTACAGATGAAGACACGTCCAGTGTTCAGCCTCCAGCTTCAACCCCTCTTCTTTCCAGCACACTTGTTTCCTTGGGACCGGGGACTGGAAATGCAGGCCTGTGGGCCAAATCAGCCACCGCCTGTTTTTGTAAATCCAATTTCACTGGCGCACGGCCACACCCACTCGCTCAGTATTGTCTGTGGCTGCCTTGGCAGGGCTGAGGAGTTGCAGCAGAGACTGGACTAAAATATTTACTGATTGGCCTTTTACAGAAAAAGTCCACCGCTCCCCGTTCTACGCAACTGTCTGCTTGTATGTTCAGGATGCTTTGGAGGCACAGGTGTAGAAAATGCCGTCCCTGCTCTCAAGGAATGACTCGCACCTCAGAGAATGAGGCACGCCTAAGACACGGAGGGAACAGTGGCCGATGTAGGAAGGAGCTGAGTTCTAGATGGCAGGCTGATGGCCGAGTAGCCCGGAGTAGTTGCAATGACATCATTAACATAAGTAAAATACAGCTGAGGAAAGTAAAGTGTAGCTCTGCATACCTGAACTATGTCAAGATTATTCATTCAAAAATTAACACGCATCTCTGTGTGCCAGGCATTTCTCTAGGTGATAGGGCGCAGCATCTCTAAATGCCAAATGTTGTGTCTTTGCTGGCACAAGGCAATAATCCCTCTTACTTTACGCCATCAGACAAACTATGCTCCCTGCTTTGGTTTTCACTGTATAGACAGCTCCGTTTTCAAAGAAAAAAACTGAAGTCATCTTGGCTTTCTCTTAAACTTCAATTCCGTTAAAACCTGAGTTACCAGACTTCCTATCTGCGGGTCCCTTCCTTGGACTTAATCCAAAAATCTGCTAAGGGGAGGAAGATTCAGCGGCAACCTGGTTTATCATCCACTCGTAGCCGTTCATCTGCTCCACAGAAGTGCGGACTTTAAGAGGTCTGTACAGGTTTGGTTGTTCAAAGTCCACGGCCCATCCAGAGAGAGAGTATTTCTTCCCTTGTGCTCATCTCACAAGTCTTGCCTAAGTCTCTTGATTTTCTTTGCGAATGTCAACTCCTTCACGGTCTGTGAAGCTATCATTGGTGAGTGGATCTTACAGCAGATAAAACAGATCCCACACCCCACCCCCAGACCCTGTACCCTTCACTTGCAACCCTCTGATAACGCTTGGCCTGGCGATCTTTCAGATCCTCAAAGAGACTGAAAAAAATATATGTGTGTTATCTCTCAGGGTGACATTTTTAACAGAAACAGAAGGACTCTCCTCGAGGACACACTCGTTTGTCACCTGGCTTGAGCACTGTACACTCTTGATTTGGTTTTACTGAGCGGATGGGTTCTGTGTACACAGAAATTCAATCCTGGGAGCCTCTGATCGGACGTCAGATGCAGGCACCTAAGCCTGAGACACCAGGGCCAGCAGCTAGGGGCTCACCTCAGGGCTCCCAGGCTGGGGGGAGTCACACTGCACCCTGCCCCCTTGTATCCATCTCTGCTTCTTCCCCAGTGGTATCTGATGGTGACATGGTTTCCAGTGAGGCACGTGGACTTTTATTTTCTTGTATAAATGAGCCTCAGGAGCAACCCTGCAGGGAAGAAGACATCATAAAAGTGAAGCCTAAATGGACTGTGTGAGCGATGGAGGGCGGTGTCATCCCCAGGCCTTTGCAGTAAGGTGTGGCGGTGTGCATGCGTGTGTGCGCCTCTGCACACACACGCGCGCGTGTAAATATTGTGTTTGGAAAAAAGGACAGGATCGTGGGATGTCTCCGTAAGCCAGGGGGGCTCGGGGTTTTAGGGCCAGCTGGCGGAGCTGTGTCCTCCCATGCTGTCTCAGGCAGAGAACTCTATGGTTCCCGGCCCAGGCCCTTCATCCACAGCCGGAGGGAGGGTTCCAGGTAGCACTGTGGGCCTGTGGGAAAGCATGGACTCTGGAGCCAACAGGATTAGAATCTAGCCCTTGTCTCCCAAGCAGAGGTCTTTAAGGTCCCTGAAGCCTGGTTTCTTTACCCATGATAATACTAATACTCATTTCTGGGCACTTTTGAGCACTAAAGAGACAATATGCAAACATTAGCACGAGCAGGGTAATTTCTAAGGCTTAGTCAGTGTCCCTCCTGTGCGCCGTTTCTCTCTGCTCTGCTCCAGGGCTGCAGAGAGGAGAGCAGTGCTTATGGCCAGCACCATTGCCCACCGGAGCGGGTGCAGGGCCTTAACCCACAAGGCCTGTGTCTGGGCATTTGTTCTAAGTGACGTTGGCCTGAAAAGTGCACCCCCTTCAGGGAACCCTAGTTTCCTTACTTCCTTGGAGATGAACTTCTTCACTCCCGCTCACCTCCTCTGAGGCTTGGCCCGCTGTCTGTATTTGGAGGAGATGGAGGGGACCCTTGGAGAGGACAGAGTCCTTCGCCCCGACGGGAATGTCCCAAGGTGCCAGCCTTCTCACGCGCTGCCTGAGTCACTGCACTTTATTTTTCATGGTGAGCCACTGGGAAATCAAGAAGAGAAGGGAAGTTTCAGGACAGCTTTTTTAAAAGATAAAACAGTACCAGCACAGTAACTCGGTAGAAAATAATAGAAGGGGATTGAGGAGACTGGAAATGCCAGTTTGTTTGCGGGCCTGCATTTCTGTAACAGCGTCCCTGTGTCCCAGCGGTCTGCCTCCACGCCTGAGGGAGGAGGGATACGTCTGACTGGGTTTTAGCTGGGGGCTTGGTCTCTGCGTTTCCCAGCCTCGCTCTACACCTCCTGCAACCAAAGGTGAAAAGGTTCAGCGGTGTTTGTTTGCAGCGGCGGCCCCTCCGCCCCGGCGAAGCCAGGAAGCATAGGTCTGTATTCTCTGCCTCAGCTTCTCCCTCTCCCAGCTTGCTGCCGTGCACATACGGCTTCCGTTTTCCTAAGCCACAGCAAAGCACAAGCAGGCACCCATTGGAAACACACCTCTGCGTATCAACACAGGGCTGGCTGCGCTGGATGTAGCAGCTGTCTGCTTCTAGGTAATGGCTGATCTAGAATTGAGGAGGAAAACAAGAACACAAAAAAACCCTGCAGATAGCCCCCCCGCATGTTGTAAAACCCGTGCTTCCGTAAGCAGGGCTTCTCAAGCTGTCCGCTCTTGCTATTTGGGCCGAATAATTCTTCGTTGCCGGGGAGGAGTTCTTTTGTGCATTATAAGATTTTTAGCAGCATCCCTGGCCTCTACTCGCCGGATGCTAATAGCATCCTCCACCCCAGTTGTGACAACCAAAATGGTCACAGACATGGAAGAACACCACCTAGGAGGCAAGATTGCCCCTAGTTTAGAACCACTGCTATAAGCAGAGAAGCACCTTTTTATTTTGGGTGTTACTGACCCATTTTGTTCCTGAACCTGAAATACATTTATTAGTTTTTCATAATAAATTTAAAGCAATGAAACAGGAACGCTAGGCCTCTCCTTGTTGGTGATTATATCCACAGAACTGCAGTTTACAGACCTTCACTTAAAATTCCATTTGGGCAGTTAAAACAACAAAAAAATTTCTTTCTTCGATGCTTTCCTGAAATTTGAATTTCGGGAAATTCAAATAACTTGTCAATAACTGGACTTGCCCACTCAGATCTTTTCAACATCAGTTTTGTCTAGCATGGTTTTCTAGGTTGTTTTTTTTTTCCTTTAGAAACCATGTTGGTTACGTGTGAATTGCCCATCTTTTTACAGTCTCTGTTCAATAAGCTTGTACAAGGAGTCTCTGGTAAGAGACTGGTGTGGGAGGGAAAATATTTCTCCCTAACCACAGGAAGGGATATATATATTTTTTAGCAATGCCTTTTAACTGTGGATGCCCAGGGTACCTCACCCAGCAGGAAAGAGAGAGAACTCTCTTTCTGCAATTGGAAAATAACACTTCACTCGAGCTAATAAACCCTTTCATGAGCTTCCTCTCATGGAAGAGACAATCCAAATCAGGAACATTTGTTTAAAATTCCCACATGCCTTGACAGAGAAGGCCCTTTAGTTTAAGACACATGCAGCTAAAATTAGTGAAGGCCTTGTGATATAAGATATTTTTCACATGCATGTTCAAGTGTTTTGTAATGGGATGAACTTTGGGTGCATTTTATTATATAGTATTAAGCATTTTTATCAGTGATCAGAAAACACTGTATCTGTGCAGACACGGATGGATTTTGACAAAGCTGAAAAACTCCTGGTGGGTCATGGCAACAGCCTCCAGAGGACCTGGGAACTAAAAGGCATCTGCCTTTTATTTAACTAAAATCTTAAAAAACAAAAATAACTCAGACGCTTGAACTTCGATTGTAGGAAAAAAAAGAAAAAAAAGTTGCGTGGTCAGGCAGTTTTCTTTTTTTATCATCTGGCATAATTTTTAACTAAAGAAACAATAGAATCAATAGTGTTATAAAAAGCCACTTATACTCTGAGCTTGAAACAACTACTTTATGCCAGAAAATTCCTGTTGCTACCTCGGTTAGTGACCGAGTAATTCAGTATGTCTTGAATGTCAATATATTTTTATTACTCTGCTAAAGTTGGCTTCGCTGGATTAAATGTCATTTAAAATGATCAACTGGCCCCTTGTTTGGGGTTATTTTCACATTGATGAAAGGGAAAAGTTGGCAAGATACAAGTGTTCCTGCAACTCATAGGTAAAGTCTGTTCTTTGGTAAGCCCTGCCCTTCATTTACCAACCAACCAAACACAGATCACATTCTAGATTTTTTTCAGTAAATGATTTACGACATAAAGGTCTCGGTTCGATGCCTCTGAAGAACCAGCATGGTAGGTACCCAGCGCTGGTTAAGCCCTTACTTTGAGAAACGGTAAAATGGTTTTAAATGGAAACCATTTTTTAAGTGCGAACCAACGGAAAATGGTTCGCACTTCACCATTTCATGAGACACAGAATGTCCAAAGCAGTAAAAAGAGAAGCCACAGAAACAATGAAAGTGAAAATCCCTCAGCAGATGGTGTTAAGACAACACTCACTTTGCATTTTAGCTCCAGGAAGTCTTAGAGGTGAGGGACTGCCAATATATTGCTCACCTTCCGGTGGGCAGAAGTTCCTTCCGTCAAACTGCAAAAGACAACCAGATCAGTTTGTTTAATTATTAAATTGTGTTCAAATGATCCACTCTAGAGAATCACGTTGCCAGTCCAGATGCATCCGAGAGGTGTCATGAAGCCTCTTGGTGGTAAAAAGGATTGTAACCCTGTCAGCAAACAGGGAGAAGCTGCTACACCTTTGTTTCTCCTAGTAGACTGGCATTTTGTGTGATAATATGTGGTCTTGCCAGATGGCTTCTACTTGCAAGAGCTTGTGGGAAATTAAAATGCATCTGCCATTTGATAGTAAGCAAAAAACTGGACCATTAAACCGCATCTCAGTTCTCTATTTTCCCACCTGTACTAAAAACGATGTAAGACAAGGAGGTGGCAGAGAGGGAGAAACACACTGCCTACTTCACTGCTCTGCCTACAGTCGCCCTCTTACAAGTGCCTTAAAAATGAGCTCGATTATTCTCAGCGTGAGATGGTGTGTGGCACTCACCTCTCAAGGTGCTTCCTGATGCTGGGACTGGGCCCCTTGCTGCTCCTCGGTGCCCCCTTCTGGCGACCAAGAGGGCCGCGGCAGGCAGGGATGATAATAGAATCTCTGGTCAGCTTCTCTTAGCGTGGGGTTCAGGCTCCAGGAGTCATCCTTCTAAGAAGGACACCACGCGTCCTTTTCTGAAACAGAAGAAACCACACGTCACATTAATTTTTAGACACAGATCAATCGGGGGGGAAAAAGGATACAGTAAGGGGTACTGAAGATGTACGGTCATTTTAAGTTTCATGGTAGTTCCTTAAAAGATTAAGCCTCCTGGAAAATGCCACATTTTATGCCAGTTCCTTCTGCTGTTCAGCGAGAAAGCTGGATTGCACGAAGGACACACTCAGAGTTAAAGCTTGCTTGGAAAAGTCCTTGACTAATAGTTACCTGTTAACCCTCTTCTGTGAGAATAGACGTCTCAGCGCAGGACGTGTGGCACAGCACGGGCTCCAGACTCCGACGTGTGTCACTCACGAGCTGTGCCTTTGAGCCAATGACCAAACCCGCTAAGCCCCAGCTTCCTTGGCCGTAAAATAGGAACAGCAACAGCGCTGCCTCATCAGGTGCCCTAAGGGTCAGAGGCAAGCCGGCTGGTAGAACACACAGCCCAGTGCCTGCAAACAGCACCCAGTAATCGCTGTTGTTATTGTTTTCCTTACTTTCTCTTCACTCACATCATCGCTCGTACAGTAATCCTGGAGAGAGTCGACGTTGTTAGTCCCCTTTCCTAAAGGAGGACACGGAACCTCAGGGAGATTTAGGAAACTTGCCCGAGGTGACCTGACTCGTTTCCTCTTGTAAGTATGTGCCAGAGGAGGGCGTGTCACATTCTCTGGGAGGTGAATGTTTGGCTCGCTCTGAAACAGTCCACGTTGGGATTGGACATTCCCCACCCAGGTGTGCCAGGCCTCACCCAACGTAAGGAAGTAAGGAAATCGGCACCTTGCGGTGCAGGAGCCCCAGAGTTCAAATCCCGGTGACCTCGGGCACGAGAGGATTAGAAAGGATGCAGTGTGTAAAGTGAGGATCAGAAATAACGCTGGCAAAGTGCGGGACACACACACGGTGTTCAACAGAATTAATCGCTTACGACCAGCCATGCTGGCTAGGGCTCATCAAAGCTCCCAGAAGCACACCTGGGGGTCGAGGCCAGTCCTGCATCAACTAGACTTAGAAAGTCCACATCCGCTCCCATCCACCTATCCAGGCTGTGCTAGGGGCCCAGCCACACCCAGTTCCGGCACTAATCCAGACAGCACTGGAACAGGGCAGAGGCGTGCAGCCTGCAGCTTCCCTTTCAATTCGCCGATCCACAGCCCAAGGTCGAGGCCTCGCCCCGCGCCTGGCCTGTACACAGAAAGATCTGTTGCCCGACCAAGCGATGCAGCATCAGTTTTGCACATGGAGAAAGGGATTCTCTGCACTGGGTTCCTCTCTACACTGATTCCATTATAGTAAAGCAATTTTTAAAACCTCCGAAGTAGCTATAACGGGACTATCTACATTCTTTCTAAAGACCATGCTGGCCATGGTTCCCACGGTCACAGTCCCCAAACCACAGGGGTCTTCTTCCCCCACAGCCTTTCACGCATCGTGGTGCTTTTTCTGCCATTTTTCAGCCGGCCTCAAGCGTCACGTCTTTATCTGTTGAGTATCACCCTCCAAAGTAACCTTTAGCGCCCCACCGTTGACACCACATTGCTCTCTCCGAACACGAGCACACTCTTTCTTTGCCCTTTGACCTGCCGGCGTGTCTTCAGCCCCTTTTCAGAACCAATTCATTTCCAGTTAGAGCTTGTTCTGTCCCTTCTGTGGGCTCTGCTCAAGTTCAGGTCATTGGTCATGACCGTGGACCAGTCCCTTCCTCTCTCCAGGTCTCTGTGTCCTCATGTGAGCGGGGAAATTCTGGGCCCGGACAGTCCCGAAGGCCTCCACAGGTCAAAGGTTGCATCTCACAGGTCTCTCTGTACCTTGCTCTCCTCACTATGAAACGAGGATGTGTTTTTGTTTTCGTTTTGGCCGAGTGGCTTGCGGGATCTTATTTCCCCAACCAGGGATCAAACCCAGGCCCCTCAGCAGTGAAAGTGCGGCATCCTAACCCCTGGACCGCCAGGGAATTCCCCAAACGAGGAAGTTAGACAGTCCATCCAAAGGAGGCAAGAGCGGTTACTCGATTATTTTCTGATTCTTGCTCTTAGTACTTCAACAAGCAACCTTGTCAACAGTGTTTTCTTGCCCTTTTCCTCTGTAGACTGTAGACTGCTTTGGGATTACGTCTATCAGTTGCTTTCTGACAGCCGGTACGAAAACTTCATCCGATGGGAGGACAAAGAATCGAAAATATTCCGGATAGTGGATCCCAATGGACTGGCTCGCCTGTGGGGAAACCATAAGGTAAAAGGGCATCAGATATTCGTTCTATAAAGTAGGGCCAAAATCTAGTCTTCATCCCTGGGTTGGAGGATAGTTGTCTGTCTTCTGCTTCCTGTCTGCCCGTAATTATTTAGTTTCCTCCTCGCTGGACAATTAGTTGCAAAGGGGAGGAAATCATTAAAGATGCCCCTTGCCACTTGTTCCTTGTGCCAGGTGCCAGTTAAGTCTCCGGTCTGACAGGCCTCATTACGAGTAACCGTCACTCCTCTGCCTCGGCCTGGTCCTGCCACCCACGCCATCATTAGGAACTGGGTACCAGGGATGCACTGTGGCACTCTGTGACTCACAAGGGGGCTTTGGGAAGCGTCGCTTCTGTTCCGCTGGGTTAGAAACTTCCACGGTCGCAAAAGCCCAGTTCTACGTGGAAAATGCTTATCCTCTGACTTTAAAGCATCTCCTCGAAAAGCAAACAGTGCAAGAAGTCTGATGGCCCCTGCAGTTTTCCACCTTGGGAAGAGGGAATCGAATTTAAAAGATAAAGTCTTTTATAGTTAGGAAAACCATTAAAGTGCATAGATGTAAAAAGTGGGTGAAACAACCTTGACGTCCACTGATGGATGAATGGATAAAGAAACCATGCTGTATGCACACAATGGAATATTCTTCAGCCTTAAAAAAAAAAGGAGCTTCTGCAGCGTGTGGCAACATGGATG